TGTTATTTTATTTGATCATATTCACCGAACAATAATAATGTTTATCATGTCTTGAAATAAAAGTTAATTTAATATGATTAAATAAAACATCTTTTGTTATCATATCTTGGAATTCTATAGAATTTCACAAACTTCTCGATACCGCTCAATTTTAATTCAAAGCATTTGAAGAACCAATACTTCATATTGTGAATTTGGTGAATCAATGAAATTACTCATTTTCGTTTAAAACACAAAATTAGAACTAATAATAATTCCAACAATAAGCCAAACATAAATTTTAGATTTATTCTACCTACAAAATTTAGTTAGAAACTAAAATTTTGAACCAAATCAGTAACAAAGTTGTTACTTTCAAACGATTTCTATTATAAATAGTAGTCGAATAAATTATATTAAAGTTTCAACTGATTTTAAACATGGAACCATAAATTCCAATAAACATAAAATTAATTCTTGATTATTTTTGATTTTGTTACGGGACAAAATCAACATTCTGAAACAAAATTAATAACCAATATTACTTTCACGATAATTTTTGTTAAACAGATTTGTCCACTTTGAGATTTAAGCAAACTAGTTAAAACGACATGATATATCTCGAAAAAAATTTACTCACTATCTTGATTTTATCATGATTTCTGTACCGTTACAAATTAAAGAAATGTAAAAGAAAGAGGTCTGAATTATATTGGATTAAAGGAAAATACTTAAATTTCACATATTTGATTGATTTCTTGATCATCATCATTAACTTTATGATGTCAACCAAAACTTGAACTATCAAAATTCAATGTGCGTCCCACAAAGCATGCAACCACAAACACCTTATAAAAATTTTGGAATCCAATTATTTAATTTCTCTACAAAAATTAGTGGAACCATGTCTCGCATTAAAAATTAAACTCAAAATTATTGCGCAAAGAATTTTAGAATTCATAATTAGAATTGAAGAGAATCTTATCGTTGGCGTAAATTCCTCTTTATTATTGTCCAATATTTGTTTTTGCCTAATTTTTATTACGTGTACACAACAAGGATTAAATTCAAAAAAATCTATATCATCTTAGAAAAACTAGAGCAAATCTCTCTTAAGATTGTTAGAAAAAGACGTTAATCCAAGAATGAAATAGAAAAATTAATAATGATAATAATATTCAAATATCATTAAAGATAGAGAACTAGTTTACTTTGCCTTAGGATTGTTAGATATATAACAATTCAAGACCATAATCACATCTGGAAAGATAAAATAAACGTAACCAAACTTCTTAAATAATAATAAAAAATAAGTATAGAAATGAATACTCTATCTGATAGATCAATTGATTGGAAACAATTGAAACCTATTGTCACATAATTTTCTTAAGATAAATTTTCGGTTACTCCTTTGGGGCCCGAGATCGTTGGTGTCTCTATCCCATGATACAACAATTACATGATCAACTACAGTAGCACAATTGTAGATATCACGAACTATAACCTTGTCTTCATCTATCATTGGAATACTAGTGGAAGAGAAAAAGATTTTTCTTTCAAGTTCTTGAATTCTGAATTATGAAAGCTTTTGAAACTTGTTAACTTGTTGAAACATGTCAATTTCTTGAAACTTGTGTTTAATCTAGATGATTAGTACAATATTTATAGAGGATTATCAAAGGAAAAACAATCATTCGGGAATTACAATATTGTCTTCCAATCGAATATAAATTCGTAATAATATATTCATATTTTAATTATATATCAATTCTATAATAGTATAACATTATCCTATTAATATTTTTTTTAAAGAATCCATACAAAATCTTTTTAATTATGAACATTCAAATAGATATATCATATTTAAAGAAAATTCAATTATCAAATTCATCAATGAATTCGACAACATATACCAGATTCCATTATATATAGAGATTGTTACTAGTAGAGCTAATGTTCTTTACTCGATAGACTCCATCTAACCACATCTTTTACCTGACAGACCAACTCTAACATCTAAACATACTTCCCTTCAAATATCCTCGCGTTCCTCTCCCTCTAAACAAGGTAAATTATCAATTTCCACGCAATCTTTAGGATGACAACGAGCAAAGACTTCCCTTTAAGTTTGTCTATGGCCTAGGCAGCCTCTGAATCTTAATTCATGACCTTTCGCTGTAGGCTGCAAGCACTCAACACTGTAGACCATACCGCTTTAAAGTAGGAGTAATTAAAGAAAAAATGATATCTCATTCCCTGTTCACGATCATGAAGAACACAAATTCTTGCAATTCAGAGATTAAATGAGGCGAATTTATTTTTTGTAGGCAACAATTCGACATGACCATCCAAGACATCACATAATGCCTCAGAACATAACAAATATGCCGAATCATGTTTGTGTCATGACACTTTCTCATTCTAATAGCTTCCCAAATTTTGGCATAAAGAGAGTGACCTCAGTGGTAAATGAATTGTTGTTTTCCTTGAGGTTTTGAGTTCGAGTACCAGGAATGTCAGGAGTGTAATAGTTCAATGTCAAATGGTTCTGATTTATCTTTGAACAGATATTACGTTGTACTTACCCCATATTAATTAAAAAACAATATTTCTCTCATTTTTCTTTATTGTCTTTCAAGTATATTATTTTCCTCATTTTATAAAAAAAATTCATGCATTTGATATAAAATGAATAATGGATACAGCAAAATAACTAAATAAGTTATCAATATGAATGTTTATAACAATATAAAAAAATATCATTTATTTATTGTTTAGATGAACAATTTCAAATTTCCGGACGCTATCACCCATGAAAATCGAAGGAAGTAAAATGCCGATGGAATAACCTAAAAATGCATTAAATAGTGGTTTAAGACACATTTTTTTGAATGATAATGAGGCCTAAGTCAGAAAATTACTTCTTTACACGACTATAAGGAGGGCCGAGAAAATCTCTAACCGTGATACCAGCAAGTTGATCCGGTGGAAAGTTGAGGACTGCAAGAGCACCATAAGGAGGAATGTCATGCTTGGCAATGAAATAAGCAACATAATTTGCTTCCCGATTGATCACAATGAATTCGACAAACCATGCTCGATGGCAAAGCTTATCAATGGCACGAACCAGGGAATATGGACTGTTGCGCGTGACATTCTTAATAAGGCTGTGATCATCAATATTATCCATTTGAACGAGAACAAATTAGAAGCCATTTAACCAGGTAAGGGAGAGACCTTCGAAGACACCCCATAGCTCAGCTTGGAGGACGGAGGAATGACTTATAATTTGTTGAACGCCAGAAGGAAAGATCCATCATGGTCACGAAAAACCCCGCCAATAGAAGCCAAACCAGATCGGTGTGAAACTGCAGCATCATAATTAAGGCAGGCCCAATTTTGAGGAGGAGGTTGCCATTAGACTTGGACAGTTCGAACAGGAGGGGGTGCCAAGATCGGAGATTTTGTTGCTGCGTATTGACACGCCTACCCCAAGTTACGGTGGAACAAGTTGTGATGATCAGAGATAGACCCTCGAAAAATAGCCTCATTTCTCCCTTTCCATGCTTGCCAAATGATGGAGGAGAAGAGAGTGTTCCAAGGGATAGCATGGGGAGAAAACAAACTTTCTGTATGGAGATTAATCTCGAGCCAATCCGCAAGAGTGAAATTAAAGAAATCAGGATGAGCACTGTCTTAGAGGAGCCAATTCCAGAGGTTACGAACCATCGGACAATTTCAGAGGATGTGCAACAGGGATTCATTCATATTAGAGCAACGGTGACAAGAAGAATAATTACCGAGGCCTTGTTTGTAACGATTTTCATTTGTAAGATGTCTATCCAGGATAGCAAGCCATAAAAACATCTAACATGCTCAGGAACATCAAGTTTCCAAATCCGTTTCCATATCGGGTTCATTGTTGACCAATCCGTTTCCAAATTCGTGACGGAGAACGTGTGATTATTTTCTTCATTCCAATAGCAATTATCCGATCCATGAGCGCAATTAGGAAAACGCATGTTTTGTAGCAGAGGAATGGCCTCGTGAGCAAGAAGTTGATTGAGCATATTCCAGTCCCAACAATTCTCAGCATCACAGAAATCCTTCGACTTTAAAGTTATGTCAACCGCAACGTTCGGATTCGCCCAATGGATAAGTTGCCCCAACTCGGGAACCCAAATATCCGACCAGAAATTAATAGTGTTGCCATCACCGATGCATCAAGCCAATCTCTCATAAAAGAGGTCCCAAACATTCGCGATAGAATGCCAAAAAAGACATCAATTAGGCCGCAATATAGAGGACGGACAAGGTTTGATCATACGATACTTTTCTTCAATTTTCCCTTTTGATTCAATCACTTGCTACCACATGTAATAGAAAAATAAAATTACTAAAAATATCAATAAAATTAAAATAAAAAAAAATATTATTAATTTTTAAAAATTCTATTTTCTTAAATCTTAGTTACGGTTAATTATTTTTAAAAATCTTAAAATTGACCTTGGGCTTGAAAATCAAACCTGGCCTGAGTTTGGTTTTGAATAAAAATCTGGCCTGAATTTAATTCTGGATTGGACTAAATCGTTTTATTTATTTAACTCAAACTCTAAAATCATGAAATTTGATGTAAAACAGAACAAAATTGGGTATTTACATGAACAACGGCCCGCAGTAAATGCTTTGTTCCACCTTATTCCGAGTTATAAACAGTTCATATGTAATCATATGCTGAATCATAAACTAACATAATGGTCGTATGAATATATGATCTATGGTTAATATAAATATATGTATAATATTAAAGAATTATATAAATATCAAAATTATGTTCATAAATAATACTAAATTAGAAAAAGCAATAATAAAAGGTGGAGTCGTATGAAGCAACGTGGTAAACATAAATCTGATTTAGTAGGTTCGACGTATAAATCAAGCACCTTAGACGTTCATAACAATAGAGTGTTTAATACCAACACTTGAACAAATCAAGAAGACCATTAAAAAAATCCATGACATATTTAAGATCACACAAACGAAAATATATATCTTCGAATTCTTTAACAAGTTCAAAGTTGAAAAATTACAACACTAGAATATTTATCTTCGATGTCCTTAACAAGTTGAGAATACAATTTGAGATTTTTGTCGACAAAAGATCTCTAATTAGCAACATTAGAATGTTTATTCTCAAGTTCCTTAGCAAGTTGAGAAGATAACTTGGGATTTTTGTCGACAAAAGATCTCGAATTAGCAACATTTAATATTTATCTTCGAGCTCCTTAGCAAGTTGAGAAGATAACTTGGGATTATTTTCGACAGAAGATCTCCAATTAGCAACACTGGAATATTTATCTTCGAGCTCCTTAGCAAGTTGAGATGACAACTTGGGATTTTTGTCATCAGAAGATCTCCAGTTAGCAACACTATAATATTTATCTTCGAGCTCCTTAGTAAGTTGAGAAGACAACTTGGGATTTTTGTCAACAGAAGATCTCCAATTAGCAACACTAGAATATTTATCTTGAAGCTCCGTAGTAAGTTGAGAAGTTAACTCAGGATTTTTGTTCCATACAATAGCAACACTAGAATATTTATCCTTAAGCTCCTTAGTAGGTTGAGAAGTCAATTCTTGATTTTTATCGGAAGAAGATCTCCAGTTAGCATCATTAGAATATTTATCTCCGAGCTCATTTGCAAGTTGAGAAGTTAATTCAGGATTTTTGGTCACTAAAATCGCAGCACTAGAATATTTATCTTCAAACTCCTTGACAAGTCGAGAAAATTCTTTCGCAGCATCTCCGACGCCATGATAACCAGTCCCTTGTTGTTCCCTTAAATCCTTCACAGCATATATCCCAGAACCACACTGTATACCAATTTTAGATGGGTAAAATTTAGAGTTAATTAGACAAAAAAGATAAATTAACGCAGAGTTATATATATATATATATATATATATATATATATATGCATAAAATGGTTGAAAGCAAAGAAACTGCAGATTATACCATCAGAAATAGAAGTTGAAATAAAAGAGCCAAATAGGAGTACAGAAGATCCATCTTCTTCCAATAAATATTTTTTGCTTGGGGAGGTCTTTGAAGGCTATGATGTCTTTTTATGGCCAAAAGGCAAGTTGAGATTTTTCTTTTTCTTTTTTGATAATGCAAGTTGAGATATTAAATTTACATTTACCCTAATCAAACAAAATAAATATCTCACTGAAGACAACAAGATGAGAAGCATCTGTCATATATTGTCAAAAGTTGTACTAATAAGACGAGGCATATATCAATTATTGAGGTTTTTAATAATTGTAGATAAATTACTTTAAACTTATATGATTTTATATTCAACATGTTATAGCCACGATGGTGGTTACATATATATATATATATATATATATATATATAGGGATGAGAATCCGATCCGATTATGTTGAGTTTTTTTTTAAAATTTGGGTTCAGGTCGGGTCAGGTCGAGTTTATAAAGGTGATGTTCGGGTCGGGTCGGATTCGAACTTAGGGTGAAAAGCACCTGACCCGACCTGAGAAAAAATATAATTTTACCTTTATATATTTAGTAATAATTATAATAATACATCTATATATATTATTTTTTATTTTAAGTAAATTGTATTTGTTTATATTTAGAGAGAAAACAATCTATATCTGATCAAAAAACGAAGAAAAACAAATCAAACAAGAAGTCAACATAAGCAAGTCTGGAGAAGAAGAAGAAGAGCACTCTAAAGGTGAAAAGTAAAAGGACATGAAGAACAAGAAAAAGATTAAGAAAAAAACATGTGGATTTTTAGTTTTTTTAATTGTAAATTTAGAATTTCGTTATGTTAATGAGTTAACAGAAGTTAACGATCGAGAGACTTAAATGGAACGGTTGATAACGTAAGGGAACCAATACACTTAATTAAAAAATCGATGAACAAAATCGATCAGACTAAAAATAAATTACGGGAGTATTGGTATAGTTTACCCTTTACATTAATGTCGACACCCGTTTTCGTCCCGCTATTATTATTATTATTATTATTTAATATTACTATTATTACTGCTACAATTTATTATTTAGTTTATTATTACAAGTTTTGTTTACATACCAAAAACAAAATTTTACAATCAAGCCTGAACAAAAAAAGCCCAAATCTAGATGCAACCCAAGATTTTAGGGTTTGGAAAACCCTAACTACACCAAGCTCCCAGTCGTCACCCCATCTCAACCATTGGATCATATCCGATCCAACGGTTCGGATTAACCCAATATTAGGGTTTTGACCTAAAGCCATCTGCCACCAATGCCAAGCCGCATCCGTCACGCGTTCCTCCATGAGATGCACTCGCAAGTGATTTTCCACTTCTCGAAGAATGCCACCGCCGTCGGGAAATCCGTTGGCCACCGAAAGAGGACAAAGACCTCAGAGTTAAATTTTTTTACCCCTTATGTTGCTACCGTCACCGTCGAACTTCACTCCTCAGTCAGAGCACTCAAAGCCAAAAAAAGGAAACAAACAAAAGATTACAACTTTATGACATCAACCAAGAAAAGAAAAAGCTTTCATCTATTAAAGACAACGAAAAATCAGAGAAAGTGAGATTTTTCGAAATAAAAAAGGGACAGAAACCAAATAAATAGAGAGGGTTTTTCGTAAAGAAAAAGAAAGAGAGAAGATACCGAAGAGAACCACTAACCTTGGCGGTGCACCAGAGCTTCCAAATGACGTTGAAAATTTTAATTTTTTTCGAAGGTATATCCTTATATCTAGGGCGTTCGGTTGATCTTTAGATTTAGGGGTGTTCATATCTTAGTTTAGGGGATGAAAAGGGTCGTTTTAGGGTAGATTTTTAGATCTCCGATCGCGTTAAGCGGTGGCGGAGTGCTCCGGTGTGTGACGATCAAAGGCTTTCGACCTCCCCCTGGCGAGGAAATAAAGAGAGAGGGCAGAGAATTTCATCTCTCATTTTTAGGAGAGCGACAGAGAGTGAAAATGAGTAAAATAGGATAAACTTACCATTTTCGCTCATATTTTGGGTATTTATACCCGTTTTTAAACGACACCATTTTGAGGAGGAGAGTGATGTATTTTGGGGAAAACCATTTTCGCAACCCTTCCTACTTTGTAAATGTTTGATTTAGTCACTAAATGGAGTTTTGAATCCTTTTATTTCGAGCATCCTATTTTAATAGTTTCCATTTTAGTCCTGAATGATTGATGTTGCTTTATTTACGATTTCAGTGCATAGTTTATAAAATATTTGCAAGGGTGCCCTAGTTTTTGTTGGTTTTGTAGTTTAATATTTATTGTCTTTTTACTTTGATCATCCACTCACATAGTTGTTTAATTTTTCTGTTCGCATTCGAGCATGTTGTGTTTGTGTTGTTCTTTTTAAATCCTTGTTGGGTTTCTCTCTAATATATTAGTATCATACATATAAATATGTAAATAATATAGTTTATATCATAATACATATATATATACAGGTGTAGATATTTTCATATAATATGCTTATATTTATTAAAATAGTATTATTCTATACAAGGAATTTATAGAGACACACCTTAACTGATAAGGAGTGTGTTCCCGAGAATTGTTCGTGTAAAATAATACATCATTATTTTATTTCGTATTTTTTCTATTTAAATGATTTTGAGTATTATCTTGTATGGGAAATTTAGGAAAACACACTTTAATTAACGAGGAATGTGTCTCCAAGAATTAACTATGCAAAATAACATTTTTATATGCTCTAATGATTTCTTTATTTTATTTTATTTACCTTTAAATAATTCGATAAAAAAAACGTGATAACGACCTTTTGAATAGAGAATCCATAAAAACACGCCTTAACTAACAAGGTGTGTGTTTTGAGGATTGTCCGTATGAAATAATTCCCTTTTCGAAACTTTTTTTTAATAGGATTATAAATTAAATGTATATTCAAATTTACCAATTTCAATATTTAGATGATGTATAATCGCTTAGGTACTGATTTTGGGCGTTGTGGGGATGCTCATCATTCCCCATGCGTAATCAACTCCTGAACCCTTTTTAAAATGAGTTTCTGGTTAAACACATATCACTTTTTATCTTTTAAATTTTTTTTCTTAAAATTATTTTAAAAGATATTTTAGGTATTCGACCTACCTAACCCAAAGGTCGATGGCGACTCCGAATCTATTTTTTGTGAAATTATTTTAATAAGTTTGATCGCTCCCCGCCATAACCCCTAAAAAGCTTAAAGATCATTCCGATAGCTTGGTGATTCCACTGGGGACATTAGAGAGTCAGGCCATAATCGATTATACATCATATTGTTAGTGGAAAATGTTAAACTTGAATGATTTCTAAATTTTGATCCTCATGTTTCGTTTGCATTGCTTCGTAAATCTTTTATTTATTAGTTGTACTAGCGTGTGATTTACATGTTTCAGATTTCTTACTTTTGTTTTAGTATGTTTGTTTTTGGATATAGGAAAAGGATTGTGAGTTCCCCCCAATCGCTCTATAATCGTTTGAGTATTTAGAGCCTTCTAATTGTGCTATATCCCTTTAGGTAGGGTTAAACACTACGCCTAAGTGAGAAAAATTATTTTTCTCCGCATGGGCTTTAGCAAGTAACCTCTGGGTGCATAGGACTCGTGCTTACAAGCGAAACATTGAGTTTCATCGCATGGACATGAGGAAATGCATCATCTCGAATTGAACTCGACCTATTTAAGCCTATAATGGGTGAGGATCGAGAGTCTGACAGGCACAAGGGGAACCAATAAAGTTCAATTCGAGGACTCTATTAGTAATACCAAAACTCTGCCCGTTTCATACTGAATTTCTGTTTGCGGTTCTTCAAAAGTCACAAAGGGGAAACTCACTTTAAACTTTTCCTCAAATTTATTTATTTATTTTGCAAGAAGCATGAGAACTAGAAGAGTATGCAGCTAGATTTTATATTTTCGTATGAAGCTTGTGAACTAGAAAAAATGTGGATAGGGTTTATTTGCCAAATAAAAGAATGAGGGTAAATATCATGTTGGGTAGATTACATGTGTGTAATGTTTATGATATATTTTCTTGTTATTCGATTATTCATTGTATATATTGACACAATTCTATTTTTGTTTCTGTTTTTTTACATTGTTACAGTGCATGATCATTCATTAAGAAAGATGTTGGTTCACGAAGTGCTCGTCGGAGTATAAGGCGGTCATAAAATGGACAAGAGTTTTCATAACAAGGAAATAAAGAATGCATAAGTTAGATCACGATCTGAAGAAACTAAGAAGAAGAAGGGAAATAATTTGACTGAAGACTATATATCTGTGCTACCAAAGATTGCTCCAGTCAAACTTAAGCAAAATGATCTGCAAAGGCTACGTGAAATCTGGGAGAGTTGGAAATCTGATACGAAGTATGCATTATGGCAAAAATATGGTGACATTGCTCTCATGTTGTACGTGAAGGTAAATGAGCCATTGATTAATGCTCTGATCCAGTTTTGAAATCTAGCATATAGTTGTTTCACTTTCAACAAAGAGGACATGACTCCCACATTGGAGGAGTACACCTCCCTGTTTCATTTCAAAATGACAAACTTGGGTGAAATCTACTCAATGACGACAATAGTGCAACCCTTTAAAAGCAAGCTCACAAAGATTATCGGAATGGGGGAGAAACGGGCAACTGACCGCATCTAAAATAAAAAAGAGTCTGATTGTTTTCCTTAGCTGTGCATTAAAGAACTGATTGTCAAACACAATGATATTGAGAAGAGCATGAAAATATTTGCTTTGGGAATTTACGGTTTAGTTATTTTCCCAAAAGTTCTGCGCCATATATACTCTGTGTCGTGGTTGATCTATTTGAGCGTTTGAAAATGAAAGTAAATCTTGTTCCTACAGTATTAACTAAGACATTTAGGTCGCTTAACAGTTGCAAAAGAGCATAGAGTAGCCGCTCCAGCGGGTGTGTTTAGTTGTTTATTGTGTGGATTCGTAGCCACTTCTAGAAGATTGAACGATAATACAACCGTCTATTCTCAAGTGCTTATTCTCCATTGAACTATTTTCTGACCAAAGAATGACCAGAGCATCTCAC